GGGGGGGGGGGGACGCAGCATGGCCCCGGCCTCAGGGGGCCGAGCCTTGTGGGAAGAGCCCTGACGGGGCTGCAGGGGCCGGGGCCTTCCTGGAGGAAGTGACATCCCCCGGGGCCTGAGCATGTGAGGCCAGGGAAGCGGAGGGGACGAGGGGAACAGCCTCTGTAAAGGGCTGTGGGGGGAGAGCCGGGTGCCCAGGGAGCAGGGGTGAGCGGGCCAGTCCCTGAGCTGCAGGGCCGGGGGGTCTGGCCACCTGGGGACTTAGGAGGGAGGACAGCCGGTGGGGGGGCGGAGAGCTCCGGTGCGAGTGTGTGCACACGCGTGGGCAGGTGTGCACGCACCTGCTGATGCCGTAACCTCGGCACGTCCTGTTCCCAAGGAAACACTCCGGAAGTTTCGCGCGTGGGGCCAGGCCAGGGCCGAGCTGGCCGAGAAGAAGGTCAAGGCCGAGAAGCAGGAGATTCTGGCCCAAGGTGGGGACGCTTTCAGGCACCTTTCCCATCAACGCCGGCTCCAGGAGCTGGACGCCCAGAAACGGTGAGGCCCCCGGAGGCGCCTGCCAGTGGGGGGGGGCGTCGTGTCCCCCTGAGCGCCCCCCACAGGCCCAGCTGTGGGGCTCCAACACCCCCCTCCCTCATTCCCGTCAAGCCCCTCCCTCTACACCCGTCCAGACGCCCAGCGAGCAGGGTCTGTCCTGGGCCTCTGGGCATAGCCTTCCCGCCCCGTCGCCCTGACGCTGCTCCCCAGGTTCCTGGCCTGGCTTCTCAGGAACTGCTCCAAGGCACCAACCTGTCCACACCCCTGCCCTTGGGCTCCCCCATCCCCTCCAGGGGCTGAGGCTGCCTGGGCTCCTCTTTAGTGCTCAGCCCTCCTGGGCATCACCTGGTCCCCCCAAACCAGAGCTCAGTGCTGCCTTCTCTGCACAGCCCGCACTCCCGTCCTTCACCCTGAAACATCCCCTTGGCCCTGCAAGGTCCCCGTACATGGCTCCCCAGGCTGCACCCCACCCTGAGAGATGTGGGACCTATGGGCCTCCCACCCCAGGGTGTCCTTGCAGGAGTGGCTCTCTAAGACCCCAGGCCCCAGTTTCTACCCGCCCCTTCTCCTTCCTTTCCCTACTCCCAGCCCCAGCCCCAACCCCCCAGTGTGCTTGCTGTTAGGATCTGCCCGGGTGTGACCCCCTGGTCCTCTCACTGGGGACAGCGTCTCTTGTCCAGGAGTCGGGGTGCCTGAGCATCCCCTGCAGAATTCTGCCATCAGCCCAACCTGGCGGGGCCCCCCCCAGACAGCTCTGCCCACCCACAAGTCCCTTAGTCTGGGCGGACCTGGGACATAGGAGGGCAGGGGGAGCCCTAGAGGAAGGGAGGGAG